GATGCATGCGGCCCCGAATCTGGATGTCAGACTAAAGGTAACTCCAGGTGCAATTGAAGGTGCCGAGGAGACCAAGTCCGGTGCCGGTGTCCGGTGGAGTGGCAGTACCGACTATGTTGTGATGGTGGGCTCGGAAGGTGCACCGAGGGCAGTGTGGAGATGGTCGCCCAAGAGAAGAGAGTGACAGTGTAGTACTTTGTCTGTGTGACCACTTGATGTTTGGCGGTCACGTTAAGATTTGTCAGGCCCTTGTATGTTTGGTCTGGCCAGTGGGCACTGCTCAGGCCTATTCACATTGTCCTCCTTGGAATACGTACATTCGGCTCCACTTACTGTCTTCTTTTACCCTATGTAAAGTCTTGGAACACTGCAATCAAAACTTAAGAATCTTATACTGGTGTTGAATTGTCCTCGTGATATTGGGTTGACGCAGAAAATGGAGAAATGCTGCTTACTCAAGGTATCAGTCAAAGTCTTAAGGCGTATAGTCTATATCGATGAGAGTGCGGCCACAAAAGACGAATTAAGAAAAATGAAGATAATGATCAAGTCCTGCTGGTCGTGCAAAACTCGTAGCCTTACTGGTCTGACAGACGATTATCGATTGCAGCACCAGTAACAGCATTGGCGAACGCAAGATCAAGGGGAAGAAAGAACAACAAAATATGATTCATTAACATTTACATAATATCGATTAGTAATAAACACTATTAAATTAATAAACATACGCATATTGCGCACAGACAATCAGGCCTTGATTGGGGTTTAAAAACGGTCATTGGGAGCGACATTAGTCGCTCTCTTTACTTTAAATAGCCAATTTTGCAAATTATTTTTTGCAAATTTCTGGCTATTTAATGTATAGATCTTTTTGTTTCAGGGGTATTAGTATTTTGTTTTCTAATTTCGTTGGTTTATTTATCTCATCCATGCACGCGGTAGAGTGATTCTTCAGCATTCGCAGCCCGTTGCTGTTTGTCGCGAGATGATGCAAAATCTAACGTTGGGCTACATGTAAGTGTCGGTCAAGCTTGTTATTCCTTAGTCTCTGTTGCAAATGTGGGGCCTCGATTCGTTCGAATCCTACGAATATGTGTGAGGCCTGCCTCGCGTCAGAATGCGATATCACTGCGAGCATTCCAAAGCAGCACACTGTTACTTTCTGTCCAAAGTGCAATAGGTACCTTCTCATTAGCTTGATATTTTTTTAGGTTTCTTAATCCACCTTCGCAATGGGTACCAGCAGCTTTTGAATCACCAGAACTACTCTCTATTTGCCTTAAAAGAGTTAAGTGTCTTGGAAAGGCTTACAAGCTGAAAGAGGCCTCTTTCATGTATACTGAACCTCACTCAAGGAGGCTTACCGTTCAGATTATAATCAGGGGCGAGGTTGGAGCTGATACGGTGGTGGAACAAAAGGCTTTTTTATACTACACCATGCATCCTCAACAATGCCCTGACTGCACAAGGCATGAGGCGAAGGACCACTGGAACGCTTGCGTGCAAATCAGACAAAAGGTCGACCATAAGCGAACACTTCATCATCTGGAACAGCTTCTCTTACGCCGGAGTGCTCCTCGAAAGTACAACAACATTAAATCTGTGAAAGGTAAGTTTATTTTTCTCTTAGCTGTTTACAGCTTGTTCGTAATTTTTGTAATTGGTTATGTTTTCTCCACTGTTTAGGTTTTGCTTATTATTTACAATTGATAATTTTTGGATGGCATACATGGGGCTTTTCAGGGTTCTTCCTGAAATTGGGTAAAACTCATTTAATGAATACCCTATTGTGGGGTATGAACCACTGATATCCGTGTCTTGTTTTTTTATCATTCGAAACTAATTAGTATAAGGGTTTTTAATTGTCGATAGTTAACAAAGGAATAATGAAGCAATAGCAAAGGTAGTG